CGCAGGAGGAGCTGCACCAGCCCCCTGCAGCCCTGGCCCGGGGTGCTGCTCTGCGCTGCCGCCCACGGGAGCTGGGCACTGACTTCAGGAGTCTGGGCAGGGGCTCCCGTGCAGCTTGGTCCTCTTATCAGGGACATAAAAGGAAAGAGGCACTTCTTACATTCCCCTACGTGACCCGGGGAAACAGCTGCGTATGCGGATTTTTTGTTCTTTTGGGGAGAAGGGAATGGAGGTGGGTCTAGTAAAATTAATTGCAGGACTTTCTGTTTTGATTAAAGCCATTGTGTAACTACTGCTTGCATTTTCTGTAGTCACATTCCTRCAGCTACACTCACAATGGAAGGCGGCTTATTTTTAAAATGAGAGCAAGGTTTGACAAAAGGTCACAGTAAAGAGAGAAAAGCTAAGAACATTGATAAGGTATCAGTCCTAATCTATACATCAGACAAATATAAACCTGGTTTTCATTTCGAGCTGCAGGCTTAGAACTGTCACAATGATAATTTGCTTTCTCAAGTGCAATGGCAGGGTGATATAAAAACAATCCAAATATGAATACCAAAATTAACTTTGTTTTCTTATATGAAAAAAAGTATTTTTCTGTCTCTAGAGAAAATGCCACATTAACGTTTAAAGCATAAAATACAGTAAAAGAATAGTTGGCAGTATTTAAAACATGCAGATGAGCTCCAGAAACTTCCAAGGGCATTAGCATAACGGACTGCAAAGGCGGCACTATTTATCTTAGGAGTCACTGGATAATGTGTAACATATACAGAAAAGAGAGGTACAAGGTCAGCTCTCATACTTAGGAGCGCTGGTGGTTCGGAATTGGAAGCATTTTTTATGAGGCCCTCTGCCATTTAACTTCCAAGAAAAATACTKTAGCAAACAAATTCTTTCAGCCTTTCCTTTTCTCTCTAATTTTCTGTGTAAGAAAGCAAGATCTTTTCTATACTTTTCATCTTAAGAGTTCCTGAAAACTAAGAGTAGATGAAAGGCAGAAACACTAACGAGCTTCATCCARAAAAATTCCTGTATCTATAGATTCACATATTTAAAGTTTCAAAGGAACATCATGGTTATCGAGTTAGAACTGCCTGAGTGGCTGTAAAACCTCACCAAGTAATCTCTCCATCAAGCACATAACATCTGTTTGAGTAATTGCATACCTCTTACAGAGAAATGTAGTCCTGATTTAAGGGCTGCAAGCGATGAAGTTCTGCAGTCCTTACTCAGGATTTGACTCAATGAAAACATTGGCATCTTGTGCTCTCTGTTTGTTAGGTTTGAGGGAACAGAAAGATGTACCTGGCTTTAAAAACAGCTCTGTTTCAAATCTCTATGAACAAACTCCACAGAATTTAAAACAAACTAAAAGAGAATGCATCATAAGAATAGTGTACACAGTCTTCTCTTTTGTAAGGACACCAAAACATATTCTATTCTTTTTCTTGGAATTCTTAGAGAACATTGACTAAACAGATGAATTCCACAGGTGACCCTCTTTGGTTTAAAACTTATTTACTTTTCTATTTCAGTGACCTACAGGAACAGTTTCCAGCCCTCTGCAAGGCCAGAAGCCTTGTGTTACATGTGGTAATACTCCACCTTCAGTATCCTCCTGAAGACACTAAAGCACAAAGATTCACTGCAGAGTCACTAACCTTAAGTAGTGGGGTAAGTTCTCTCACAAGTGCCACAGGAATTCCAACTTTCTTATGYTGATGAAACTTCAGGTGTTCAGATTTGACACCAGGGCAAAATGGTCACAGAACTACTCACTTAGTGACAAACACCACAAAAACCCAAGAGTTCTGTGGCAGAAAGAAAAAATTAACTGGCATTCTGATCAACGCATCTGTTTCTGTGRTGGAAGCCGTATAAACTGATTTGATTGCTAAATTTGATCAAGATGCCTGATAAATACATATAGCCAAGAGACAGGATTTTCTTAAAAGATGTGGAYATAATATGTTAACAGATCATGTCAGGATGTGAACCTATGCTCATGTGCAACGTTCAAGTACACCAGAAATTACTTGCCCTCTTTCAGACCCATTAATAAATAGTAGACAAATATTTCAAATAACATTACCAAAACATGATCATATTGGTAATCTTGTTTTCTGTGATAGCATACACAAGCATTCAAACTGCGGTAACTCCTCTCTTTGAAATAATGAATGTTTCCGATATTCATTTGCACCATCTGATACAAGAATGGATTTTGCTTACGTCCAGTGATGCTCTGCTATTGCTTGAATTGACTGTCACAGCTGAAGGTCATGAAGTGACTCGGTGCCAATGCAAACAGATGAAACACTGAGAAACCACTTTTTAAAAATATTACCTTAATAAAAGCAAGCACAAACTCCTGAAAAAATTGTAAMTTGGAAGCATTAATTATGGCTTCTTAACTCACCTTTCAAAGTTATATCAACAGAAAAAGCAAACAGAGTATTTGCTATAATAAAAGAAGCTAGGATTTTACTTAAAAAGAGCTCAATTCATGCCCTTGTCAGACAGAGACTTCTTGTCTTAGCTTGGATAAATTGTTTGGRACAAAGTTTCTGAACGTGTGTGAATGTCCAGGCTTTTCTACATTTGTATTGGGATATTTACTACAAGCAAAGTCATAACTAACAGGCATGAAAATGAATGCATATCTACTTTTAAAATTATCTCTAAGTGGTTTTTTTTCTCCTGAGGGTTAGTCTGTGGTTGACTGAGTTCACAAGGCCCCGAACCTGTGCTATCATAAACAGTGAAACTCAGAATTTTTTTCACTTTGTATTTTGATAAGTTAGTGTGGTACCCATGAAGCTTTTGAGACCCAACAGGTCTGACATTCTGCTCTAGGAAAGTAGACTCTGTTCCCCTTTGTAATATGAGAATAATTGTACTTTCATTAGGAGCTATCAAATAAACACAGGACACCTTGTAAGACAGTCATGTTGTGTCATAATGTAGCGATATTTCAAGACTGAGTATAGACAAGGAAATTTTTCAGTTGCTGCATGAAGAATATATGTCTGTTCTGTATCTCCCTCTCACTATTTCCCCAGCTCATTGGAGGAGGAAGAAAGAACACAATTTAGTTTTCACRCAGAAGTACAAATAGGGGAGAAATCCTTGCACCAGAAATTGAGAGCATGTAAATAGCTGAAATCACACAGCTGAATGTTTCTCAATACCTCCTGGAACCTGCTCAGCACATCAGAATCCAGRCAAATTTGTATTTTTGTTTCAGACCTGGTTCTGCAATACTGAATTAAATTAATCATCTCAACTTATGCAGAATTACCTTGAAATCCAGAGGACTAATTACACAAAAATCACTCAGGATGGGAGGAGTTGCAGTGAGGSCACATGCACTCTAGACACTGAAAAAGCTCTTTCCACAATGCACATCACACATCTGTGATTAAGCTAATTGCTGACRGGAAGGCAAGTGTTTATTGAATGTTATGTCTCAGAAGCAACATTTGGCTCAAGAAATCCCTTCACTTGAGGAGCCTGGAAGGGATATCAGAGAAAAACAATTTAAACATACTTCTTATAATCCTTCATGAGCACTTGCTTATTATAAGCAACCACCAGAGGTGAGATAAGGCAAAAGTGGTAAATCCAATGCTTGACTGTCACAGGTTCCATTACACATATGAAAAACTCTTATTATAGTCAGAGAAGAGTATTTTCAAATTTCTGTATCATAAACTTCAATGTTTACACCTGTCATTTTTTCCCGCCACAGGGSACCAGTGGATGCAACTGCTGAGAATCTTTATGTTGACAAAGTGTATAGCACAGACTTTATGAGATTGCTTTTATGCTATTTAGCAGTTTAGCTTTGCTACACTTAGATTTAAAGAAATACATTAATTCTTGTACTAAAAGGCAAAAACCATTCCTTATTCAAATTATTCAACTATGGTTAGTCCACTTTAATTATTGCATATAAAAGTGTTTTATTCTTTTCTTCAATCAGACTGGCAAAGAGATCACTTAGAGCATTCAACTAGAATGGTCTCAATAAAAACTGATTAAAAGCTGTGAGTTTGAGGATGGGATCTGGTACACTCAGTAACAATAAAACATAATTCTAAACATTCATGTTTACAAAAAAAATAATTATAAAATCTGAACAATAAGTTAATAAAGTAAAATAGTTATCTACTGTTCAGATATAAAATCCCAGCAACTTAATTTACATATCACTATAGCAGACATGACAAAATTGTGAATAATGCTATCCACTGTCATAAGTGGTACTTGGAGATTTCCAACAGAAAACTTATATTTTAATTTTCTGTTCAAATACAGCCAAAAGTAAGAGGCAAAGCCAGCCTAATAGTAATCCAAGGTTCTGTAGAAGAAACATCAACCAGGGTCGCCGTGTCTGAATATGAGTCATTTCAGGAAGCTAAAAAAAGAATAAGACACCAGAATGAGAGCCAGATACATTCATCTGTGGGAAAAAAAGTTATGGGAAAACAAGGCAAACTTCATTAAAAAAAAMCAAAACCACAACTTTCAAAATGCTGTCCTTCTGACTATAGTTATTAATGTSTAGCATTTTCTCTACATTTTGACAAAGCTGATCTTGACAGTGGAATATTTAATAGAATTCTACTCACCTTGGTTATTTTACTGGCACTGACAAGAATTATAAATTAGATTCTGAAATCTGTTAACTTCTCAACTGTTTGTAGTAATTTTATGCAGCTGTCTGCAAGGAAATGCTTATTTAGTAAAATTAGTGATTTCCTTTTGTGGGAATAAAAGAGTTGGAGTATTTTTTGCTTCAGTACTATATATAGGGTCAATCATGCTTTTTCTGAAATAACTGGCAACACTCCTATTTATYTGGGCTTTAGTTAATGTACAAGTACAAAACAGGATTTTTTAAATATGCTTGAAAAAAAATACTATTTAGCATTTTTCTCTGTGAGTTTTAAATCACAATCGAGTAACACTTGTTTATAATCATAATAAAAGCTACTTGCATTAACCTTTCACTCTACATGGTGCCTTTTATCAAATGTTTCCACCAAATATATGTCTAAACAGAGCTTGTGAAAATGATGCCTCAGGCTCAGATTCTCTTAATATTTTTGCTTTGTGCATTATAGATGCCAGGGGAAATACTAATGACTGCTAATACTGTCACATCAGCTCTGGAAATAAATACAGACCAATGGTCTGGTGCTGACCTCTGGTTTTGGCTGGGTGGTTTTTTTCTGTGCTTGAATAAAATTACTGAGTTCCTCTGCTCTTTGGAGCCTCTTCASAGGAGCTGTAACAGCAGCAGCCACTGGGAGACAGTGGAGTGGTGTTGACCAGGGAGGTGAACGGGAGTGTTTGCTATGCTGGTCCTTCCCTCTCTCTGGGGCTGCTTCTCCCGCATTCTTCTTTCTCTGGATGTTGGCATGGGCCCAAAACAAAACTGTACTGGAAAATCTGCCTCTGCTTTAAAGTTTTGCCTGAAAATAACAGGGAAACTCAAATGTCCTGGATCTTCATTACAACCAGGCAGTGGTTCAAATTATGGTACAGAARCTTAATGTAGTTATAGCTGATCTGTGTTAAGGATAATCAGAAACTTTTAATCTAAAGTGAATGTAAACACTTCAAAGCTCTGGTGTAAATCAAAATATGAACTGACAGTTTTAAGTGCTCAAAGCACACAGGTTTTTTTGTGTATATAAATAAAAACTCTTAAGTAGGACCTAGCCTGAATTCAGGGTTCCAGTCTAGACTTTTAGTCTTTCTTATTTGTCCTTGTAGTCAGTCTATTTTGTCCCCAGTGCCTGAGTGAACAAGTTCTCCAAACAGGAGACTTTTTCTCCTCCCACAGGAAGATCCAGTATTTTCATTGCTGTCAGTGACAATTTATTTATTGCTGTCAGTGACAATTTACAAGTTAGACACTTGTAAATTGCACAGTGCGTTCCTAAGAGAGTTTTCCGAAGGAATTCTTAGCAAGCAGAACCCTTCCCATGTCCAGTTTTGGTGTCTGCTCCCTCCATCTAAGCTGTGTGCACGTTATCAACACACAGACCTTGCCTACAGCCATACCTAATATGACATCCCTGCTTTTCTGCTGAAATAAAAGCTGGTTGCTGTCACAATATCAGTTGTAGTCATSCAGCTCTCCCTGAACAACAAAGTGTGTGATACAGCAGAGAGAATCTTGTTTAAGAAACAAAAGCCTACTCAACTGGCAGATGCAAACCTTTTCATAAATTAAGGGAACATAGCACCACATTCAAACTGCTGGAATTTATCACACTTGCTAGTGCTTCAAGTGTCTCAGAGGCAGAAGAGGCACTGCTGATCAAGGGGCTGCTCCATTCCACTCCTGCTCATGTTATCATGAGCACACAAGAGATAAGAAGAAATAGGAAGCAGCATGCTGAAAGGAGGCATGAGAGGCTCTCAGGCATGTACTGGCTAAAAAAGATTTCTGCCAAGCTGGGCTCATAGGGCCTGTCTGCTGCACTGTAACAGCCCAGTAAATCACTTTAAAAATCACYCCCTTATCTTCAAAATCGAAATTATTTTGAAAGTTAGTCAGAGTAAACATCAGTTTTGCATAATTTCTTGGTGAAAAATGATGGATATAAGTAAATCTATCTTTTGTCCTTTATTCAATTTCTGAAATTATTAGTCTACCCAGCTTGCTAATGGAGCTACAATGCCATTTTTAGGAATGAAAAACCTTTRATTAACCACAGAAGTACTTCTGTGCTGCTTTGACTGTCTTGGCAGTCTCACAGTGCTGTTCTGTCAACAAACCTCCACTCACACCCCTCAATRTTCCTCAGTGCAGAAACCAGTGAGGCTGCTCAGTTTTATTTAACTGCTGCTCTGACAAGCACATTAATATGTGACAGCCCATAGAGCAAGTGCTGAAAATTACAGTCAAGCTTTGTGTACTATTAAGTGTTTGTGTACCATTGACAGGAACACTGATGATCGCTGCTTGTAGRTGAGAGAGCAGCAGAGAACAGAACATATTTCCATGCAGRAAGTTGGAAAATACATAAAGAATGGCCCATTTTCTCTTGAGATGTACAATGAAAACATACAAAGCTTTTCAGATCTATAGATGCCTGCAGTGCTACATAAATAATTTTCAAAATAAAATAATCCCTGTGATATTTGACACTGATGAGCAGGTGAGCCACCCAATGGCAGTTCTTTTGACAAAATGTCGAGAAAAGCTGATTAGAGGGATTAATAAAAGAGATTGAGAGAAATTAGGTCCTCCSCTCTCTCTCCCTTCTTTCTCCTCTTCACATCAGGACCAAGATTGTGATGACAAGATGAGAATGAGGGAAAACATGTCTCTGTCTCTGCCTGGAACTTGGGACATTGCTTGGAACATTGCTTGGAAGACTCAGGGAAAAACACGGTATTGTTCATCCATCCCTGATGGATGCCGATCCTACACGGAAGGAAAAATATGTCTGCATCATTCTTAGYCCCATTAGCAAAATCATGACTGCACAGCTGGTAGGCAGCCTCACTTCCAAATTTCTCTGTGTCAGAACAAGCTGCACAGTGTTTTTGTCTGTTATTTACCACTTCAGTCAGGACTGTTGACACATCCACAGTCCTCCAGCAGTTCCMTCTTAAGCTCTTAGAGGCACTTCAYGTCCATTTTGCTTTACTTACAATAGCAAAAATAGACTAAAATAGACTAAAATAATTACTGTAAGTAGGGTTTAAAATAGGTTATAATACTGGAATGGAGTATCAGGTTTAGAGTGTGATGCCTGAACCTGGCAAATAATGTCTCAGGCATGAAGGGGTAATGAACACAACGGGTGGTAAGGAACACAAGAAACAGACAGGCTTGGRAAAAAAACAAAGTAGTAAATTATGAAGAGACTTTTTTTTTTCTCCCTTTTGATCTACTCAGWCAAAACCTTCTGTCTTTGCAGAGGAGCTTGCAAGAAACTTCACATCAACACCTGGTGGTTAAAGAGCCATTTCACAGGGCTGGGCAAGCATTTAAGTCCTGCATTGCTACAAGTGTAACTGTTACCCATCTCTTCAATAAATTATGTAGCCTGAGGCATCTGCACCAGCTCTGATTCCTCCACATTTTTGCTCAGCCCTTACACCTTCCTCCTACCTCCTATCTTGGCACTTTTTTTTTCTATAGACAGATCATTGCTATTGAACTGGGAGTATGAAAACTATTGGGCAARTACAAAAATAGTTGAGGTAATCTGAAGGCTTTCTAATTGCTTAAGAGCTCACTGAAACCTCCCTACGATAGAAAGGGAGTGTTCAGGACAAGCATCTTACATTTTAGTTCTGAAATAGCAAATTTGCATTGAAACAATGAGTGAAAAATATAAAAAGAAAAGGGAAGTAAAAAAAAATAACCATTTTTTTGAGATCTTAAAAAACCCCTGAAGTTTCAAATATTTAAATTTTACTAAGTAACTAAAAATAAATTACTTAGAAATCTTTAGAAGATTTTTAAAAAAGGGGCTCTAAAAGTCCATGATGCCATTCTCATATATTAGCCTCTTATAATGGCCATAAAACGGCCATTATTTTCCCTTTTCTCTATAATGACACCTAAAATGAGAGTGACACAAAACCAAAACAGATTACTGATCCAAGCCCTGTACACACACAGGGCAGACAACACGTTCTTCCCAACAAGCCTACAAACTCTTTTTCTCTCCAAGTTCATCCACCTGCGTTTGTCTGACTCTCACATCTATGATGTGACTGTGCTATAAGGAAAATATARCAATAGACCAAAGTTCTCACCATTTCTGCTAAAGATAAATACAGGAACATTCCAGCTGTAATAGTAAAKATCCAGTTTTGAATTGATGGGTCAGTCGACAGAGAAAGGCCAATATAAAGTCCTAAGAATGCTGTTAGTGCACTTATAAAATTCATCAAAATTGCAATCTTCGTTGGGAGCCCTGTACTTAACAGTACAGCAAAATCTCCTGCATAGAGAAAAAGACAGAACATTCATTATTTAGCTGATAAAGGTATTTTTAAGACTCTTGGTAATAAAATATGAAGGAAAATAATTAAGATATGAACGAAGATAGTGACTGATGGAGAGAGAGAATGATGGATGCCTTTAGAATTCTGTATTTAGAATTCTGTAGAAYTAGATATAAACTTGTCCTGTGTGAACTAAAAACCTTAAAACAAAAAAAAAAGTTGTATTGAATTGTACTTGTTTAGCTGTTCCTAAAGATAGCATACAGTATTGAGGAGTGGCTTTCTGTTAGTTCTCTATGTTCTCTGACATTTCCAACTTGGATACATGCAAAAGTGAAGTCACATGTTTTCCCAGAGTTTCTAAATCTTTCTCCACTGGGAACTTGCCAGTTCAAATCATGTGGGTATATTTGCAGCACAGTCTTTGAGTGTTTTACAGGTGCTGCAAGTCAGAGTAATCTATGGAAGTCTGACCCCAGTTTTAATTCCACTGATTTCAGGCCTAATCATTTAGAGTAMGTTGTACATCAGAACCCCATCACAGATGTGTTTTTTTTCTAAAATAAAAGGTTTCATAACAGGCCCACAATAGAAGATTTGAAAAACTTTGCTCTRTAAGTGTAAAAATGACACTTTGATATTGTGGCACTACTGCCCCAGAATTAAGAAGGTGTCTTTGGGGGTAACTTTCAGATATTTCAATTTTCTTTGCTATGCAAACAAGAATTACCCATTTTACAGCAGTCAACCCATCCAACCTTTTTGTTTGGGGAAGTTTTCTACATGGCACATGAAATCTTCAGTCATTTGATGACAGAAATGAGAACCTGCAAGTCGCATTTCAAATGTCTCAGTTTATAAACGTTCATCAACACAATGTCAGGAAGAGCTTCAGCCATGCTGGAGGTTTTACCACAAAAAGTCAATCAAGGGCAATACTGAAGAGAACAATCTTCCTTGTTCTTTCCACTAGTAAAATAGATCATACACCTTTTATTATCTTATTGTTCTTGATTAGCAGCAGGAATGAGGGTAGCAAGAGAAAAACTTGGCTAAATAGCTCTGCTGCATATTGAAACTCTTGGACAGCCCCTTGTGTCAGACTATTATGAACACGTGGGTCTTGCGTACAGTTTACTGGGTTTTGTGTCTGTACAWAGAATAACAGGTCACTCTTGGCCTGATGTCATTTACACCTGGAGAAGGTGAGATGGGAAGGCATCCAGTAATGAGTGCAGAGCCTCCTCTGKTTTTTGGGGAGGGCAAAGACAGTATCAGTCTCACAGAGTAATGTTATAGGTCATGATGCCACAAGTAAGAACTCCCACAAATGTCATACAGGGAAGAACTTTTTRGGAAACCTGGAAATGCAAAGCCAATCAGGAAAAACACACACATGTATTTCTTACCCATTTCATGAGGAATTTCATGGCATAAAATAGCAATAGTCGTTGTCACACCTGTTTCTGTGGAGGATGAGAATGCTGCTCCTATTACCAAGCCATCAGCAAAATTGTGCAGACTGTCACCCACCAGAACCATTATTGCTAACAAGCTGATTTTCTTACCTCAGAAAAGAAAAACAAACAAACATAATAATCCCAGATTAAACCCAAAAAGGCATTGCTATTTTTGTTATGTTACAAATKATTTGGTTTTTTTGGTGACTTTGCATACAGCAAAATTATAATCAGAGAAAAATAGTGTTTATTTGCTTACATTTCCTTCAATACATTTGAAACAAAAAAGAATGTTCCAGAACAATTCACAGATTCAAATACCAGGAAGTAGCTTCCTTATTCTCACTAGGTCAACTATTTGACAAAAAATCAGGTTTGAGCCCAGTCTCATGATGCATCCTAAGGGTTTCTATTATCTTTCTTTATTTGATGAAATTCACGCAAATTTTCCTTGATATTAATTGGAGTTATTCCACTATTTCTCACAGAATCACACAGCTATACTGAAGATAAATATTTGGTCTCATGCAGCTGATTGTTTTAATCCTGTAACACTTGCTACTGAGCAGTATTTGCAGGGTTTCGTTTTTTATGCGATCATATTACAGTGAAAGATAAAAATGAAAGACCACAAGCCTCAGAGTATCACTTCTAGCACAGGGTTACAGCATGCTCATTTCCAACATTTGTTCCAATCAATTAATGGCTGCTATGCTCATGGCGCTCCTATCTGGAGCACCACTCATGGGTGTAGATGGCTSTTTGTCTTTCCCATACTGTTCTGTGACCTTGTTTCAGTGTGGAACAGCACACTGGGTGCTCATGGCATCACGTCACCTCACATGAGTGGAAAGGTGCTGCCAGTGAGRCAAGTACTGAAATCAAGCTAGGGAATTAGGGACAGTCCTTCTGCCCAGCCTGTAACAGGGACAGCTGGGTGAATGCTGAGCAGATTCMCAAGGAGGGATTTTATCTCTTTGAGAAGCAACAAGGCTTCATATAGGTTCAATGTCTARCCTTAGCAACACATAATTGGCTGCCCTATCTTGTACTGTCTGTCATTCATTTTATCCACAGTCTTACAAACAGCACTGCCTCATGTCTGTCAAGAAGCTCATCCAGTTTCCCTCTACAMAGAATGGTCAGAACACTTTGGAAAGGGTTGGTTTCATGCCTGAAGGAGCAGGGTCATGATTTGGGCCCCAAATATGTATTTTTCTGTCTTTTACTGATACCAGATAGACATGACAGACTAAGGAGCAAACGTGAAGCTGCACAGATCTGTCTGAATACAGTAATTACAAGGTTTCCCTCCATTAATGTTTTTCAGAGATGATCATTTTATAGTGATGGGGAAGATATTTTTCTTACAGAAACTGGCTATTACTGAAGCCTTCAGACTATTATAAAAAACACATAGAGCACATAAAAGCTGAACAACCATATTCAGAAAATCCTCCCTAGTTGCCTGGGAGCTCTGTGGGTTCAGAAAAATTGGCAGGCTTGTTAGATTTTGCTGCCAGCTTACAGAGCCAGACGTGGATGTCCCCAGTTTGCACAGTTCTTTCTAAACACCATGGGCAGTTTATAATCAATAGTGCAGAGCATGAATTACATAGGAATAATAGATTGCTGCGTTATATTAAWTTTGTGATTTGTAATAAGCACTGGCAAGGATGAAATCATGGCCTGCCCTGAGGTCTTGTTATTCTGTTTGGTTCAAGTATCTGATTGTTGGAGACACACCATGATTACTGGAACTCCCTCCAGTGTGTTGTCTGCAATATAACACAGGGATCAGGTTAACATTAYGGAGCAATTACAGATATAAGCTTTGTGAACTTACTTGACAGAAAGTTAAGAAGATGCATGCATAAACAAATCTGAATGTTTATCTTACTTTACTTTCAGCCTATTTTAAAGCAGCTTTGTTACTGGCAATTATCTCACTGCATTATATTCCAACACAAACTATTAACTATTAACTTATTTCCTTGACTATTTCTACAAAGCCTCTTATTCTCCAACAATCCTACTAGTTTTTTTCTCTGCTTGAATACAGGATCAGAACCTATAGCAAATTCTATTCTATAATTTTCATAAAACCAATGGGTACAGGACCTCAACTSTATATTACACATTTTAAGTTTCAAATAAGAGTTTAAAGCAAACATTTATCCATAAATAGATCTTTTTCCAATGTTTCCATGACTAACACAGAAAATATATTTCTAGTAAATGTAAAGTGTCACTAAAAATACCAAATATAAAATGATACTGCTTGCTCTTCTCTGATATTGTTAGAACAAGTATGGATAAATGAAGAGAGGGCCAGTGAGACACCTCTTCTTTAGGAAGCTTCTTGCTTTCTTAAGTTACTCCCTGAGTATCTAAGGTGATTGACTCTTTTTGCAGTCCTACTTGACATGCATTTACAGAGAAGCTTTGCAGTTCTGGAGTTGTCAGGCTTCTCCCTTAGATCTGCAGATTCCATTCAGTCTCAGGGAAGAAACACCTAGCTCAGTATCAGGGTACCCAGGTATGTTTATGCACTTACCTATTTAAAAGAACTGTAACAAAACAAACTTTTGTAATTATATATTCTCCAAAAAACCCCAACATAACTTCCCCCCTTCCCTACTAAGGTTTCGCTTAGGGAAGTAAGACTGAGGTATGAGGAAAAATTAAACCTAACAAAGGTTAGTGAGAAACTAYCCCAAATTCAGTTACTTGGAACAAATAACATTGAGATGACTGGAAATTTGCTGCTGCTTATCAGGTAATGAAGAGAGATATCTAGAGATGAACTACGAAGATACGCTCAAACTGGCACAGGATTGGGTTCTACTGGAGAGGTGAGAGTGAAGAAATGAAAATCCAGTTTTCAAAAGCCTCAAAAAGAGAAACAAAGTCCACAAGAACAGAAGAGRACATTAAAAAATCAGAAGAAGATAATGACATCATTAAATAAATCAAACTGATGACCTGAAATCTGAGATGACAAAATAAGGGGGAGTTAATTATAGTAAATAAACTGATTTAAATTAAAATACTATTCCCTTAGTTGAATAAGGGAATTCCCTGAATTCACCAAGGTCACAAAGAACAGTTAAAGGGAAAATTTGGTTTATACTCTATTTACTATTTTTACTAAGCAGCAAAAAAACCCAGAAAATAGGAGTTATCTGAAGTTCTCAGAAAAAAAACTGATTATACTAAAGCTGAGAGCCATCATGAAGCTGTAATTCCTTACCTGTAATAATTCATWACTGGTTTAAAGAGTCTATTGCTTACCCATGTAAGAGAAGAAGGAAGCAGAATTATATTAGTATAGTAAATCAACAAAACAAATGTTTCACCACCTTGAGAAATAAAGGCTCCAGTTAAGTTTAAAATGATAAAAATACATTTTTGTATTAATTTAGACTATTTCCTTTTAAGCAAAGGCTTTTGAAAAATAGATTGCAACAGTGAGACAGCAAACACWAAAGCAAGGAGAGTATAAGATTAATGAACTTCACAGTTACAGTGTTGGCAGCTGAGAAGGCCTTTAAGCAGAGATTAAAGGATGCAGACGGGCACCATCAGAGGTGGTGATGCAGCTCAAGGCAAACGCAGAGCTAAGCCAGCTGCACACTTTCAATCCCATCTTAGGTATGAAAGATTTTTCTGTCTTGTCTAGTTTTTTTATTGATACTAACTTTTTTTGCTGATCACCTTGCTCTCTGGAGGAACTTCAGCWGGTTCAGAATCTTCCGGGCTTCTCTAGTTAAAAGCAAAGATAAAGGATCAGTGTTAAGGACCTCTTCCAGCTGCTGCCATAAATACAGGAAWACATCAACTAAGTTCAAGCTATTTGAATTAAAGATAGTCAATTGTTTTTTGCACAGATATCATTAGAGTAATTTACTGGCCACTGGCAGTGTGTTTGGTACTGCAGAAACACATGAAAAAGAAATCTCCCAGGGAGGGTTAAGTCTAATTCAGGTAGGAAGAAAGACACTCATARACACTGTTGTAGCCCAAGAAAACCACACTTCTGCTTGAGTACACAAAAATGCAAGACTAAAAAGGGCACTGTAATTAATATTCCATGTTTTGATTTTGTCATGACTGGATGACTGTAGTTTCCTGGAGAATAGGTCCATAGGATTTCCAAAGAAAAATAGGTAGAGTCACTTTAGCACCCATGTTCTTTACTGTTTCTCTGTGAAAACACAAGACTAAAAAAGATGCTCATCAGTAGGTTTCACCCCCTTTCAGAATACAGGGGCTTTTCTTCAGTGTGGTGCAGCCTCCAGTGTCTTGTGTCTTGGCTTTTAGCAAGGGCTTCATCTCAGCACCAGGCAGCATTGGCTGGTAGCAGCACTTGAGCACACTCCATGGCAAGGAGTGAAATTCACCCTCATGTCAAGCGAAGAAAGAGTCAGGGTCTTTTTCCTTATCCTAGAGACACAAGTTGATGCATCAGCCCTAACGTTTGATTAATAGCTATGGCAACTGTTGGGAGAAAAAGGACATGCGTAATCTCTGACTCCCCCTACCTCCCTGGGGTCTTGCTTTCTGAATGGAGAAATTGTTAGAAATTCATGTGAGGGAGAGAGAAKCCAAAAAACTTGCTTGCTTGAAACTGTAAAGACTGAATTTTAATCGCTGGGGGTTTTTATTTTCCAAAAAAAAAAGTGTGTTAAACCTATTATGGCAGTGGAGTCAACAACAGCACAAGAGCACTGTGTTAGAGACAGCAGTCACCTCTCCAAAAATTGCACCAGAGATGTGCACTGGCTACAAAATAAGATATATTTATTGGCTGGTATTAGCTTGGTTGATGAAGGATATGTGCTGTAGAAGCATGAGAAGAGAAGGAAAAAGAATTGTTTTTCATATTCTCCATTTTARTGGAAAAAGAAATGCTTACAATTGCCATGATTGCAGTCAGTTATATGAATTCCAGTAATTGTTCCACTTTTCCTATAATATTTATTCACATGCCACTTCTTTGAACTCTGAGTCCAAATTGCAAGACTAATTACTGACCTGGAGGATTTATAAGTTTTCCTCAGTCAACCAGGGTTTGTCTTAGTACTTACTCACATGAYTCTGAAAAATTGGCTGCTCTTGTACAAACCATCTCAGCCAGGCTAATTCATGTGATCTATGGAGAATTTTGGGGGCATCTTGCTGCTAGGGGAATGATGTGATCATTCGTTATCATAAACAGGAAGCTAAGATATGTGTCACAAAATAGTCAACTTGCTTCACTTCTCTGTTTGCTCTGTTTTCAATTGAGTTTCCCAACTCTGCTTTAAAGATTAGCAGTGACTTATGAGGCTCCTGCCCATCAAAACTACATAATAAAATAGAGTTCACCTATGGAGATCACTGGATAAAAACCGAAGATATTTATCGAAAAAAAAAAGAGAAAAGAGGTTAAAGGTTATGACTCAATTTAGTTTGTAAAGGTTTATCTGTCTGGATACCATCCACAGACCAGGATAAAAGCATGCAACTTTGTAKAGGTAACCACCATTCCCAGATATCCAGTGTGTTTATGTTACTCTTCAAATCTGTGGAAAAATGCCCAAGAACAGTCCAGGATTTAATCTGTTCACTGATTATGCACTTAASTCTCACTGCAGAAAATCCTGAAGTTTTCCCCATGGGAGAAAAAGATCACCAGTATTTAAAAAGAAGGTAGGAGAAAAATCTCCAATAATTTTATCAACAAAATAGATAACTATACAGGAAGTGTATTGTTATATTCATTCTGATACACACTTAAAAATAGGTGTTCTTGGAATCTCCATAAAAGCTCATTATAATCTTCACAATCTAGAGATTCTTGACAATCATGCCAAGTCATAAACAACAAATCAATGAAGACTGAAAAATAATTCTGATTTATTACATTAATTTYGTTCATTTATTTTGAAGAACAGAGAAAGAAGAATATAAATTCAGGGAAGGATGTCATATTGGTAACCTACCAACTGTATGGTTGAAGTAGATTTGCCTCTGCCTGAATGTTCATTTAATTCAGACTCCACTGGAAGATCATTGGAATTTCCCCAGTGCCCATTAACTAAAGAAAGGCCCTGCTGAATGAAGATGCTTTGCAATTAGTTCTGAAACCCAATGAACACAAGTGCAGCATTTCTCAGTCTTTTTTGAGAAAATGTAACATTTGTAAGGATTTTTTTTCCCAAACAAAATCTATTGAAAAGATCACTGGCTGGAATCAACATATCCTAATGCTTATTTTGTTAAAAAAACCTTGAAAAATTAATCAGATAAATCAGTGACAAGCACWATGGTTTGATAAAACTTCATTAATTTTAAAAATCAAATTAAAATTTGAAGCTGAGATATACATAAAAATTAACCCCRAGAATTCATTTAGTTCTCAGTAGAAAAAGTTTATAGATTTGTGGGATGATGATAAAACCCTTCTTTCAAATAAATAAAAAAAAAGACTTCTTTTTTACCAAGCAAATCAAACATCACCATCATCAAAATATTCTCATTCTATTAATCTCACATTATATTCTTATGGCTGACTCAAAGGCAGTGGGACCAGGGATTCATTGCTGCGTATCCAAATCAGGCCCGCCTTCACACCCTCTGTAGAACAGAGCCAGAAAAGGTTTAGCCTTCTTAAGTGACATTAAGATTGTCTCTCAYGCTGAGAAACTTAATGACCCATCACATTTTGTGTTACATTATARCCTTGTGCATAATCATATTTTCAGGCTCCAGCCATACTGAAATAAATCTGTAGAAYTACTGTGAGAGTTGCAGCAAGCAAGGAGATATTATTAATATAATATAATAATAATATAACTCGCTGCAACACRCAGATTTTCAAATCATTGGGATAAGGACCAAAAGCAATTTGGAAATTTTAAGATACCATCCTTGCAAATACCTAATGCTTGCATTTATCTTTCTATTCCACCTTTCTCCTCTTCAAACAGAGCTCAGAGCAAACAAGTGTCACGGCTGTTTCACATGGAAACACACTTTTCACCTGCTCCAGGGTGAGTCATGAGTACAGGTTTACAGAACACGTTCCATTAACTGTGCCCTTCTTGAGTTATAAATACACAGAACACACTCATGAAGCAAGCACAGTCCACAGAGCAGAGAAAAATAGGAACTGGAGGTCAGCATGGTAGGAACACAATTATCAGTGCTTCATTCAACTCACAGAAATTATAATTAATTTCCACAATCATTTYAACAATCCGTGCACTGCAAAATCTCAAAATACAAGAGGTTTTTTAAAGGGTGAATTGTACAAAGCTTTACCTGGTCACGTGGTGTTACCAAAAGAAAGAAACACTTTTCTATTAGAAAAAATCCGTGAATTCCTCCAATTATTCCCAGAAGTTTCCAAATATATTCTTTTCCCTCATAGAAATGTTCYACTTCTTGTGCTTCATGTTTATGTAAACCAAGAGTCTAAAATAAAAGCAGATAAATTTAAAAAAAATTAAATGGCAATGTTTTCATTTTTGCTAGAGCAAGCCATAACGTGTTTATGCAATTTATTCTCATAATTTTATTTTCTCAGTTCTTTCAAAGTTAAATTGTGTTTTGAAATAATCAGCTGATGAAATGAATTATTAGGAGCCTCTGCTACACTTCTTCATCTTTCAGTGGTGAAAATAACAGTATTTTTAGGGATAGTTTCATGAAATTGTCCTTTATATATATGAGATATATTTTGTTTGCAATATATAGATATTAAAATTCTATTACAAATTATTTGCATCATCTTAATGTGTAAACTTCMTATTGAAAGTAGATAAGGAGCTACYRAAGAAGGCCCAGCAAGGCCACGGAGATGTTTAAGGGACTGGAGCATTTCTCTGATGAGGAGAGATTGTGGGAGCTGGGCATGTTCAGTCTGAGAGGGAATTACATTAATCATATAAATGTCTCAAAGGCAAGCTCTGAAAGTGAGAGCTTTAAAGGCTACTGGACACATCACTTAAAACCAGTGAAAGAGAATACTTTCAAAATTAACAGGTGTTGCTGAAAGAAATGCATTTGTCTGGCATTCAGTGAAAATTGCCTTCCTTCTACCATTTTCTGCCAGATTTGCTTCCAGAAATGATGCATTGAGTATGAAGAAAATTTTGACCAGAATCTTAAGTGAAGCTGTGAAACTCTCTTCCTATGACCACTAGAAGTCTACTCGTGACATCTGTGTCCTTTGTCAGAGGAGACTCTCAAAAATAAACRAATAAACAATGGAAAATTTGGTTCGGTTTTGTGTATTATCCTGTTCCTAAAATTTATTTTATGAATTTAGGAAAATATCATGTACCCATTTTATTACAGTTCTAGGCATCAGGATTAATTAGGATTATAGCACCTGTTTCTCTGGAACAATGTGTGGAGGGGACCGTGGATGCCTCGTACAACCTTTCAACAATTTCTCTTAAAACATGTTACAGAATCTGTCTCATGARAGAAATTAATACCCATCTAGAATTTGCCTTGCATGGGACTTGAATGRTTTCTGAGAAGTTCTTTTGAAAATAGGAACCTTATTTTCTTTGAATTCATCATTCATGGATTTCTATCTCTTACTATTTGTAATCTCTCCAATATAATTGGGGTGTTGGGGAGATTTCATGGAAAGTTCTGGTTATAAACTGATGASCATTATCCAGGTTTAAGTTTAACTTTTCACACATATATGTGAACATTTTAAAAGCATTTTAAATAGAAGTATCTATTATTTACCTGAGGAATAAGATGTAGCAGTGCATCTCCAGAAAGGGTTCCAACAGCCAAACCGACAAACAGCTGTAAAATGAGTGTATAGATTTCTTGACAGGAGTTAAATAAAATGAGAGTTGTACCAAACATAGATCCAACAGTAATAAGTAAAACAGCAACAGTGCTGTAACCATATTCTGTAGGGGAAAACAAATGAAACAAAACAAGGGCACCTTTAATCATCCAGTATTAGWAAAGGTATTTGTATTTGAGTATTTGTTTTGTATTTGTAATTGTTTTTGAAGGTATGTTTTAATACCTCTACATACAATCACACAGGAGAAGTGATTCATTGTGCCACTGTCTGATTTCTGCTGGGATGGAGTTAACTTTCCTGGTATCTGGTACAGTGCAGAGTTTTGGATTCACTATGGGAATAATGCTGATAACACACTGATGCTTTGGTTGTTGCTGAGCTGTGCTTACCCTGAGCCAAGAACTTTTCAGAGTCTCATGCTCTGAAAGTGAGGAGCTGCACAAGAAGCTGGGGAAGTGCAGGGGACACATCTGGGACAGCTGACCAAACTGGCCAAAGGGATATCCCACACCACAGAACACCATGGCCAGTACAGGAACTGGGAGCAGCTGGCCAGGAGGGGCTGATTGCTGCTCAAGGGTGAGCTGGGCATCAGTCAGCGTGTGGTGAGTAATTGCATTGGGCATTACTTGTTTCTCCTGGGGTTTATTTCTCACTTTTTTTTTGTAATCTATCTTTCTTCCTTTCCATTACTAGTAGTAGTAGTAGTAGCATGAACACATTTTAGTAGTATGAGTATATTTTACTTTATCTCTATTATTAAACTGATCATAGCTCAAGCAATGGGTTTTACCTCTGTCCAATTCTCCTTCCCAGCCCCTGTAGGGGAGGGTGTGAGTGGCTGCTCGGTACTTAGGTGCTGTCTGAGATTAAACCATAACAGCCACATCGATTTTTTTAGTCACGTGKGATACAGGTGACAGAATTGGAAGCCCAGAAACCATTCATTTTTTCAGGCTTTACATGTAATAATTTGGTACTACCAAATTTCAGATTTTAAGAGMTAAACAGACTGTGGCTATGCAACTTAGAGTCCCCCATAGCAGCACAGTGAATACTGCTCTGCATTTGCTTCCTCTCTTAGCAGATTCATGCTTGAGATTCTATGTTCTCACATGCCACACCTGTGTATCTTTACAGTCATCATCACATTTTTAACAACATCATTTTCTGTAAACAAACCAAGGCRTAAAACCTCAAACAAATGTGGGGATCTAATTTAGGTCCTAAGCATAAACATTTTGATCCAAATTATATTTACAAATTTTTTGAGGGAATATATCCCTTCCATTAATATACCAGGACTGCCAATCTATTTTTCCCAGATTACTGGCATTTTTTTGAATGTTACTCTTACAATTCTTCAGAGTTACAGGCTGAACACATTTCCAAGTTTTTGCACAACATAAATCCTGATTAATCTGTATGGAAGTCTGGTAAAACGCTGATAAGAAACACACATAAAGGAATGAATGCCAAAATATGCAAAACTGTCACTTAATGTTTCAAACTTCAATAGCACTGCAAGTGCTCAGCACCTCACAAAATCAGACAGGCAATTTCACAGACTGCACATCCAAACACAAGAGTGTAGCAGTTATATATGGAAGGGCTTGGTGACWTAGCCAAAACAGCACAGCCTGTCAGTAAAATAGAACTCAGAATAAAACTAATGAGCCTATGCTCAGGTCACACATAGGTCTAACATGGATTTTATCTGTATCATGACAGCAGAAGTGTCCCCGTGGTCATGGAAACCTTCCTTTGTCAAAAAGCACAGGAAAAGGGCTGCAGAAAGGGCTCTTATTAATTCCATTCTGCACTTGAATAGTTCAGTTTTTCTCATCTCTCACCTTTATGAGATCACTAAAATGTCATTGATTGGGCTGATGGCTTTAGACTTGGACGAATCCCACTTAACAGTGAATTTTTTCATGAACCTTGTATAACCTGGCTAAGTTCCTTTCTTTTCTTTCTTTGTCCCTTGATTCCAGATCTGAAAAATGGTCATATCTGTGTAGCACAGAAAAGATCAAAGCAGCAAAGGCTGTGAGGTGTTCAGATAATGAGAAGAGAGATAACATGAGAAAGGAGGACTGCTGCCCATTGAAGAACCATAATGATTCTTTCTATTCTCTATGTCTCTTTCTCCTATAACAATACTTGTGATATCCATGAGTGTTCTCCCATTCTTTTTAATTCTGGGATATCCACAAGTGTCCTTTCATGCTTTTTAATTAACGTGCTGTTCCATGAGGATCATTGGGCAGCAGGATGTGGGGAAAATTTACCAGCTCCAAAAAGACCCAGCCATGTAGATATTAGGATTAAGGTATTGAAGACATTGACTTGTAGCCTAAAAAATGCTGCTCTAGGTGCAGGCAATTAGGGTTTTTTTGGTCACTCCTTTCTGGTCACTCCTGACTCTCAAATCCGCCACCAAAATTAGTATCGCCTGTATTACACCAGCATGCCTTGATTTGTAACCACTGTCCATGTATCACTGGCTTAAAGCAGGAAAAAAAAACCCAGAAAACACATTAGGAAGCCCTTAGGCCATATCAGATTCAGATTTTTGTATAAGGTGGACTAAGGATTGATCACAGGAGAAGTGGAATCCACAGATCACKGGGCAGAAATCACTGGAACCAGAAGCAAGTGAGGGCTACAACTGCAAGGGGAAACAACCCAATWATGCTCTAACTCAGTTCTTCTTCCAGCTCCAGCACAAGTCCTGCTGCCCTGTTGCTGTTTGTCTAGATGTTTTTCTCACCGCAACAGTATCCTCAAAGCTTCTCTTCYATGAAATATCACAAGCTGAAACACCAGTARCRTTCATCCARAACTTACCTATATCAAGCATTTGCYACATCACGGTACAAAAYGYCAGCAAATGTAACCTTGAAGCTATATCTAAGAAAAATGCAATGATTCAAATATAAACCTGGTACACATTTCACAAAATAAGTCCTCACTGCCCAGCAGTCCACAGATGAAAGCCTGTTTTAGCCCATCTGCTGGGAATATCAACCAGTCCTCTAACAAATGAAGAAAATAAAGTTCATAACCTCATATATTGAAACAGAATTACAAATACTATAAAATTAAGACTTYCCTCACTTCTCAATATAGTATACAGTCATGCATGCTATGAAATTATACAATGCATAAATTACARAGTGCATAAATCCCATTATGTTTTRGYTCATTAATGAATGAAATGTCTCCAGAAGTCCTCATACCCCTCATCTGAATTTACACAATAATTTATTAATAGAAACATAACTCACTTTCCACAGCTGTTGGTGGAAGCTTTGTCTGCTTGAAGTCAGGAACCTGACATGAACAACTTAAAAGCTGTTGAATGATAGCTGGGCTGATTTGCTTGAAGTGGTCCTTAGAAATGGAAGAAGAACTGTTTTTCAAAAATATCTTCAYAAGTTCATTGGCAGAGAAACAAACCTTTGTAGAAAAGGATATACAGTTATTAAACATGTTGCACATACCTGCATTAATGTTTAAGTTAAATACAGAATCTTAGCAGAAAACAGGGCTGTCCAGCCTAGAAGAAACCTTTTATATATGCACTCTTTCTTGTTTAAATTAGTTTAATTACTCCAGTTACCTCATTTCTTTTCCATTTAAACTTGATACTTCTMTATATTTCAGAAAGGCCAAAATCTTTGGCATAAAGCAGTATAATTTCTAATGAAGCCACTTAATGTCATAAAGGTCTTACAAAATAATATCTCTCAACATGTTATTGTCATGTTAGTTAAGAAAAATGTTTTAATGCTAATACAAACCATATTTTTAGCTATTTTTGCAAAACTACATTATTTGCAGTAATAGTGCTATTAATATAAGATACTGCCTTCATCAAAACAATACTGAGATTTGTCCTTACGCTGGATCTTCAGTAAGGTAAGGAAATAAGTTGGCTTTTTTAATTCTTTAAACGAAGGCATGTCAGCAAACTAGATGTTACAGAATCTAAATTTAGTCTAAAGATTGCCTAATAATTGTATTATTAGAAGTACTTCAGAATTCCAACTACTTTTTGATCTTTTTTGGAACACCTCTTTGTCAAAAGAAGCCATTTTTCATGGGAGCATTTATATTTCAAAAATTTGCATGAAGAATTGGGTTATCATCTCCAGGATGAAACTTGTAGTAAAAACATGGGCAGTTAGCATAAAAAAACTTCTAGTGGAAATTTCTATAAACATTTTGAAACAGAAGAACTCCAGATCAAATATATTATCTTACTTAAAGGAATAATCTTCATTTCTTAATCTCAGATAATGAGCTGTGATTCAATATTTAAATAAAAATAATTTTCTTTCATTTAAATTGGTCTGCATCTGAGACCCAAGGGATTCCTAAATATTCTTCCTCTCATTACTGAAGCTTAAGCTTCTTTTGAAAGAAAATTACTATTTAAATTTTAGAAAAAAAGTTATTAAGTATAATTACTTTTAAATAACCCAGTTAAAACCCAACACATTCCTGCCTTTGCTCATACATTAGTGAAGTAAAACATGYCTTATGCTTCACTAAGAAATGGAATTAATTGAACACAGTCTTATTTTTCAGAGACAAACACATTCAAGTCTTCAGGATAACAGGTGACCTTGTCTCCTGGAGGTAGTATGTTCTGCCTTCAARCCAAAGGGCAACATGAAGACAATTCAGGTGCTCCCATATTGGAAAAGATCTTAATTTTGCCTGTTCTAGGCAGTGGTTTTGACTCTAGAAGCAGGAAACACCAATATYTGGTATCAAGTTGGAAGACTAGCTCATGGCTGGTTATGAGTGGCATTGTTGACCAGTCAGAGCAGGACTGATACTTTWTAACACCCTCATCAACAACCTGAGTGATGGAACAATGACCAGATGGCATTCACGGGTGAAATCCAGCTGGGACCACCAGCCAATATTCTGATGGGCATGGCTGATATTTAGAGGGACCTTGATGAGCCAACGAAATGGGCTGGCCACACCTTCACCGAGATCAGCCAAGACAAACTTACTGTGCTGCACACGGAATAACCCCGTGCATCAGTAAGGGCTGGGGAAATGCCACAAGGGAGGGAGGTTTGCAGAGAAAACCTTGGGGTGACAGGAAARGTGACCATGAGCCAGCAGTGAGCCCTTGTGCCAATGACCACTRACTGCACACTGGGCTGCGGCAGAAAGAGCAGAGGTGCTGGAGAAAGGACATTGCAGGACCTCTCGGGACGTGAGTCCACATCTGGGCTGTGTCCAGCTTAATAAYCAGCTGTGTCCAGCACAAGACACTGGCAAATGGAGGGAAGTCCAGTGGAGGGCCRCCAAGATGGCCAGGGAACTGCAGCACATGATGTGCCAGCAGAGGCTGAGGGACCTGCGAGYGCGTTTGCTCGTTTGGGAAGAGAAGGGTTCATTGGTATCTTAAGCCTTCAACTGCCTGAGGTGATTTACAGGGAAAAGATAACCAGAATCTTCTCAGAGGCATACAGCAAAAGAATGAGAGGAAAAAGGTATTAGTTGCAGCAGCAAAAAGAATCCTTATTATTATTATTATTATTATTATTAATTATTATTATTGTTGTTGTTGTTGTAGTTGTTGTTGTTGTTGTTATTACTCTTAAATGAAAAGCAAAATCTCATCTGTAAAAATAAACTGTCCACCCATACATAAAAAAATAGCTGTTAAAGGTCTATCTAGCAAATGTTCTTGTAAGACTTGAGGCATGAGGACCTGCACCTTTTCCAGYTGCAAGCCCCAGGCTTTTAAGCTTTTTAACAGCAGGAGGCAGAGAATTGTCTCCATTAGAAAATCAAATCTGCATGTACTCCTAGAGGATGACATCGAAAAAACAAGCAAATAGAATTTGCATATTTCCATGTGAAAAACGGGATGGATGGATGATTTGGGTTTCCAAAATCCACRTTTGTTTAATGAGGAATAGCAAATGAATACATATACATTGTAACATAGTTTAATGGAATTTAAGATTATTGATCTTATTAGATCATATGCCTCTTACTTGTTTTATATACATTTTTAAATGTAGAGACAATGATGAACTTAAAAGAAGGCAGTGACCTATACAAATTCCTATATAAAATTCAAATTACTGATTCTAATGCAGTCCTTAAACACAAGCCATAAACGAGTCAGTGTCCTGTGGGTAGCAGACTCTGTTACTAATGAAACACAATGGTCATCAGAAAACAGGAGGCAAAATTAGCAGCACAACAGTGAAACAGAAAGTTTTCTAATGGAATACGGCAAGGAAAATAGGCATAGCTAAAAAGAAGAGGAATGGAATAAAACCTCTGAGAAACTAGGAATTAATTCAGAAGAGAAATTATCTTCTCTCCAGATGTTTCTTTGTGATTTTTTTTTTCATTTATACAGAATATTTGGCTCTCAGTGKGCTCCTAAGATTCAGACAATGACCCTAAACACTTATCTTTTGAGTTACAGTCAGTCTCTGAAGTTCAAGAAATCAAAAACTGAGRTTTAAAAGTCCTTCAGTTGCTGGAKAACAATTTTCCTTCTTTTACAGATAGTATCACTACTGCTATATGTCCTTCATAATTTAAAATTCATATGAAACAGATTTAAAATGACCTTAATTTAAAATTATTTTGAGACCCCATTAAAAGCCTCATCATGCTGATCAGCATGATCCTTTTTTGTGGTCAGCTGCAAAGAAATAAAYGTACTGATAGAGYATGCATTTCAAATGCWATGCAATTACACAGATAAATATCKATGGCATTTAAGCAGATGCAATTTGTCTCAGTTGTCCATCATAAAATGACCACACAGCAAAAGTCAATTGCACATCACTCCTTCTCCTAAATGGAGAAGACACATTGTCACTGAGTTAATGTAAATGGTAAAGAACTGAAAACAACAGAAATGTGTTCTTTGAAGACTGTATTTCAAATGTGTACATCAAAATATATACCAGTTATATACTTTAAAATTTCCTTTTTTGTCTAAGAAGTGATCCAATCTAAAGTGTGGACATCAATTATCATCTTCATCATCGCTATAGACAATTTTTTTTTTATTTTCAGATTCTTAGGATAAGGATAAAATCACCTGCAATGAGCCAGTGTCTTTCCAAATCCTCAGAAAGGATACTGGGTAGCAGCTAAAGCTCTGTTTTACAGACTTCATGCTTTCTAAAGAAGGCTTCTGATTTCCATAGATGTCTATTAAAAGAGTTTGCAATGTCTAATCTTCAATTTACAGAATTTAATTTACTTACATAGAAACTTTACTTTACTTTGTTTTTGTTTGTACAAAACAATTCTTCTTTMTACCAGGTCACTTAAAGGGTCCAGAAACTCTGTGACATACAATCACAAGTCTCTAATGACTGTATGAAAACATCAAAGCCATGGTACTCCAGCCCTCTGTCTCCAAGAAACATCTGATTCCATGTAACACTAACCACTAAAGTCCCAGAGACTTTAATTGCATATTCAGCATCCATTAAGTTCTTTTTCCCTATTAATATTTAAACAAATATAGCTATAAAAATACTTTTTTTTTTTATCAGTATCCACATGTCTTTCTGAAACTAATACATTTTACCTCAAAGATTGCATTGTTTGCAAATCAATTGAAACTTTTTTCACTGAAATTCTGYCACCAATACTATAATAACATAAAAATAAATTAACCTGGTCCCAATCTGTGTTCCTTTCACGATCTTCARAATAGCCTTTCAGATAGTCTCCTTTTGTATGGTTTCCTTTGATTGGAGWATTTCTTCTTCCAATATCTCTGACTGCCATACTATAAAGTCTTCTTTTGTGACTGTGAAATTGTCCATTTACAGTGCAGGTCTTTTTGGCTGTAAGCACATTTAGTAGTTGTTCTAGTTCTGATAATTCATTAGAGAACAGATATGTTACCATGGGAAAATACACATTTAAAAGACAAAACATAACAAAACTTTTTTTTTTTCTTCTTCCATTTTTTTTTTCTAGCATTAATTCAATTCCTCATTTTAATACTCTTCTCAGTTTGGAAGCAATTTCTGATTAAGAACTCTGGAAGTTCCRGACACCCAGATCCTCAGCCTTTCTTCCTTTACACACCACACTCAGATGTTTTGCCTATGACTGTCTCAGAAGAAAACASATGTGACTGAAAAGCAATTTGTCTTTCATTTAATCATCATCCCTAACAAAGTTATTTAGTTATTGCTAAATAATTGCACAGTTCTTAAAATTTTCCTGTGTAAATGGAGCTCCACACTGAGCTGCCACAGYCAGGTATTTGGATCAGGAGACAGATCCTCTGAAGGGTATCCTGGAATCAATTGTCAGGATGCTGTGCTGCCCCTGCACTTCTGCATTATAACAGAACAGCAAATTTTCTCTCTTCTTTGATTAACAGGGGACCATGCCTGCTCACAGAACTGAAACAGGAAGGAGGGAGCCAGGATCCCTAATCCAAATCTGGGATAATGCAGGGATGTATCCCATGAAGCAGCTTGAGTGCAATGGGTKCTTCTGCTGATGGAATGCCTGGTTATTTGAGGGGGCAGGCCCTATCCTCTCTTACTCATCACCTGCCTTCACCCCTGCATTTTCAAATGAAGCCATAGTGATAATTTCTGTAAACCTTAATTTGTTCGTTAAAAAAAAAGGTGGTCCACAAATTAATTGTAAAGAAATTTAGATTAATTAGAATGCTTCCATATGATAATCCTTTATTTTTTAAATGTTATTACTCAGAAAATACAAGTGGTATAATCTCAATGATAAATCTCACAAAAAGGTTTCTGAATAGATGTTTCACTGCTTTCTTTTGGTTTTTTGAACAAACAGATCTGAATGGAACTGCAGGTATATATTTTTTATTTTATGTAGTAAAATCTAATTTCTTTTTTTCCATGCCTCCAGTTTCTTACCCTTTTCCGAATTTACTAATAAGAATTTAAATAAATGTAAAGGGACAGTTTAATTATCTTAGACTTAKAAYATATTTACTCTGCAACRAACTGGTCAAGAATGTTTTTKTTTTTTTTTTTTTGTTTTCCTGAATGATGTCCTAACTCCACCAACCATATAGTCCTGCTATTATCTTCACTGGGACCCAGATTTCACCATATGTGGCTATTTAATAGCACTGTGCTAAGTTGGCTCTATCCATTCTTGTGACTTAATTATTTTAGAAGTTCTGTCTGGGCAATTTTAAAGGAAGGGTTTTGCTGCCAAACCAGTTTATGTAACTCCAGTCTTGGAGCCCCAGTTTAGGGCTAAGGATTATTATTTTTTCTAATATCTTTTTTCTGTGGTCCAATACACCTCTGTGTAACCTATGAATGGTAAAAATGTTTTTACCTATGCTCAACTGAATTTTCTAATCTGTTTTAACCAATACTTAATGTAACTTTTTWAAAGCACTTTGAAAAGCTTGTAAACTGTTGCTGTTATCAGTTGCCACAAACAACTGCACAAGGAAGAGCACATGTGTAATAAAAACCTTCCAAATCCGTACTAGGCCACTGGGTTGATGGTGTAGCTTCTTAAACTGCTAAGTGGGCACAATATTTTACAGAAATTAAAGCTGCTGCTGATGCTGCTAAGGGCTCAGCATTTGTTTTGTTTTGTTTCAGGCTTTTTGTTTGGTTGTTTTAGGACCACTTAGAGCTCTCTTATCCTTCTATTTATTTATGGGTAAGTAGCATTTCTGATCAGTCCAGCAATAAATTTACCGTAAGAAAATGAACATTACCAGCTTACCTGTCACTTGGAGCTCAGTGGTACTATTTAGAGAACTGAAAATGTATTTTATAAAGAAGTCTGGGGAAGGCAAGCTTGCTTTCCCCATACAGACTCCTTGGAGAGCCAGAGTAAGGATTAAAGCAGCCAGGCGTGGAAGAGTGTTTTCATCAGCACCATCTCTGTCCATTATATCAGCATTTTTCTCCAGAGTGCTCACATCAACACACTGAAACCAGGAGAAAACAGCATGAAGACAGTCCTGATCACGTCCATTTAAATAATCAGAGTGACAGGAGGAGAAACCGGGGACAGCACTTTCACAGACAGCCAGAGTAGAAAAATTGCTAAGATGTAAGCTGTAATTGCCAGCAGGACAACTAATCAAAGGGCATTTTCAGGGGAACAGGCATAGAATTAAAAATCCTGAACATTTACTCAGTGTCTGATGGGGTAAAAGTACAGTCTTTCATTCAGGTTATTCTCACTTGGTGTTATTTTCCTGCTGTTTCTCGTGTCCTCCTCAAATATATCCATTTCTACCTCCAGAAACAGGCAGAAAAGGCAGGAATTTTTGTTAAGGCACAAGAAATTGGCTCAAATAATACAGATTTTACCTGTTCATGTCAAACTTGAGAAAGAATTCTTTAAATGCTTTTAGGTCTGTACCTATTAAATTGAATCAATAGTTTGTTATGGAGTSGCTCTCTGGGGACACTATGGAAAGATATAATTTTGCAGGAAAAGGGTGACTTTCCTGCTGGGTGACCAAATAAAAACAGTAGTCAGTGGTACACACCCATGTAGGTGAATGTYTGCAAACTCTCTGTTACTCAAAACTTATCCTCCTCCTTTCTCCTCACCTTCCCTTTTTACGTTTCTCATTTATTTTTATGTCAAATAGTTTGGTTTAAAGAAAAAAAACCTCAAAACAGAAAACAAACAAAAAAATCCTTCCCCCCACAAAMACCAACCCCAGCCCCCAAAAAAGGCAAAAATTATTTAATTTGTTTCTATCTCATATTAACAAAATCAAAAAGTCAACTAGATGAGCTAGTACAGTAGTCATTTATTTTATACATATTCATCTCTCCATATTTAGGCCATGAACACTGCAGAGAGGAGGCTGGCATTTCTTTTCCTGTTCATTCACTACACATTAAAATTTCCACAACCCAAAATGTAATCTCTCATTTCAAACAAAATATTAGGTGCTATGACTAAAGGAGAGGATATTTTATGTGAAGCCAAAACACGTAAAGAGCCACTAAAAATGCTTTTCTTCTATTACTACCCTGCACCACTGGCCCTTTTCCACAACTCAAGTGCTGTGATTCCAAGTATTATGCTATTATGTTTTGAGTRCCTTTCATAAAAGAAACCTCTTTCCCCTCATGTCAATGAGTGGTGAAGTCTCAGTTTCTGGACAGGCTTTGACAACTGATTATACTGCCAGCATAAACAAACAGAACCCTCAGAAATGCATTTTAGGGGTTGTTATTCTCTCTTGACATTCCAAATGTCGCCGATGCCTCTTTGCAGTTGCTCAGACACCACTGGAGTCCCTGGAAATCAGCACGTTCACCAAGACTCACAACCAAAAGTGCTGGTCAATGAATAATTTATGATGGGAAACRATTACACAAAGACAGAGAGAGGAACTGGAGGCCCTCAACATTCTGGACACAGMCAGGTCTCCTACCCATCTTCTGTTTGTGCAGAAAAACCTACTACAGAATGTTGTAAATTAAAATCTAATGAAATTAAAAAAACAGATTCAAGCTTTGAATAAACCTAATTTAACTCAATACACTGAACAGGTCTAAGGAGCTATAAACAGGAGGTCAGCCTGTACTTTAGGAGTTATCTAATCTGGCAAAAACCTGTTTTATTGCACTTACAAGGAACAGTTTTTCTTAGATTTTGAACTCTAGCATATTATTCTATTATTTGATAGGCCCTGCTTGAGATAAGGAATGATAAACAGCAGTGAGAAACCTCACTGCATGTTTCCTGATTTAGAGAGGATGATCTTAGCTTAAAATACTCGATATGCTTTTTTTTAACTTCAAAATTAAGCTTGTCTCTATCAATCTTTCTACAAGGCACATCCATGCATGTAGATAATTAGTTACAAACCTACGTGTTCCAGCTGAAGGAAGCCCTCATATCTTTGGACAAATTCTTTATTCTATCCAACTGTGGACAGACATGGAAGTGTAGAACCTGGCAAGGATTTCATCACAGCAAAATAAATAATTATTTCTCCTATACCAGCCAGTAATGGAGCTGGTCTGATTTATACCATTGWAATACAATCACTGCTAGCATATCTATAGTAACAAATACAAGGGATGAGAAAGTATTTTCTGACCTTGGAACCAAGTGCAAGACCTTACATCTACACAGCTTTGCTCCTTTCCATCTGCCCTAAACAGGGAAACTGCCTCTAAATTACCTGTTGGGAATTCAATTTGCCTAAAGTGCAGCATCTCCCCAACCAAGTCAGACCTTGTGGAAGTGGCACATGCCAGAAACAACTCAAAAGCAAAGCATTAAACAGCACACCCAAAACAACATCATTGTTCAGGCTTTGCTCTCACACTGTCATTTACCACTTTTCTGGAGGACTGTGATACTGGCACAGTGTCTATACTAGCATGAAGACATTATACCTGTGATAAAGATGAAGCTATTTTTACGTATGTTTTCTTTACCTGGTTTTCAGAAGTTTTAAAATGTTGCCTTACTGCAGCTAAAATATCTTCAGTTTCATTCCGTGAAAAATAGTAACAGTCTTCATCATGTCTTAAACTAAGCATGCTCTGTAGGTAAAATTTGTAATCCTTGCCATTCAAGCTGAATTCAGAAGAACACATATCTCTGCGATGAAGAATGTAGTAGAGGAGAATAAGAGAAATTCTCTCRAATACTTCTTCACTGAGATGGTCTTCTACATTTCCTCCAGCTATCAGTAACAAAGCATCTGGTTCAAGGCACTGTGAAGAAATAAAAATAAATGGAAATTCAATTTAATACTGCCAGCCATCTGCAAATACAGTTAGGAAGGACAACAGGAAAATTCAGCTTTTATATTTAAGGGATCAAACCCAAAACTACCAAACTTCCAAAATAAAATGGCAGGAGGAGGGTGCAGGTAATTAATTGCAGTTCTAGGCCTGCAATGGGGTTTTCTTCACACGGTGTTTTTTTTTTTCCAGACCCCCTTTGGTTTTTAAGAAAAGTCAAGTGTCTTAGAGAGAGGACTTTGGGGAACCTGGTCTAGTGAAACTACATCATCTTTAAGGTCCCTTCCAACTCAAACCATTCTATGATTCTATTCTATGATCTGACAATTTGAGACTCACTACAAATTAGGAGTAATTCTGATCAATCAATATAGAGAGTGAAAGCCTTCCACAGGCTTGAACAGATTATACTTCCGGTTATAAATATTTTAGATAAGGGATAGGGGTATTCATATTTTCATCTGTTCATTCTATGTGTATTTACATTATAAGATRAAAACAGTATCRGGACTGTAGTTAATTCTAAACAGAAGTTATCTCCCATTGAATGCACTGTTGAGACACTTAATTGCCCCTGTAATTACACAGCTATTTTTATGTCTCTTAATGAATTCTGTTAACTACAACGAGATTCAGTGCAGAGAGCCAGCACAAGGTCTCAACCCCATTTRAACCTTCAAATGCATTTCAAGACTGAAATTACATATTCACCCTGTGCAGACTTTACATCTGAGCATTATATATATTTTTTTTTTCTTGATACAGTTTCCAGAAACTTTTGCTGCTCATATAAAACAGTCTTTAAATTAGACTAGAGGTCTGTCTCAGGCTGTGAGAAATAAGATCCTGAACTCCAAAATAAAGAAACTTTTTTKAAGAGATCTTTTGATTAATGTCCTTCATTCTGTACCTGTTTTTTCAAAACAGACTCTTTTCCAAGCACATTATAGGTGTTCCAGCTAATCTCAACTGTGGTAGAGCAGCTGGACTGTACATTTCAGAGAATAAACTACAACACAKGAGATACCATGGGAGGACCAACACTGCGTTCTAATAAATTAGTGAATCCAGACAGAATCCAGTTTGTCAGAATGAA